TCTCTTTTTCCTTCTGAATTTTCTTCAACTTAATACATTAACTTTTAAAAGCAGTAAAACGTTGACGTTGCCAACGAGTTCTGTCATTTGACATCTTCACATCAAGAGCTTTTTTACTGTTTCTTACAACCAGCATCACTTTATCGTTAGATCTAAGTCTAACACAAACTGGTCTAAATTTATTAGGCTTATTCTGACTTAATCTCTTTACACTCCGAAAGAATTAGACTTTGGATAGTAAAGATTTCAGTGTTTTTATCAGCTTCAAAAATACTCTTTCTATCTACATTTTTACCTTGCAATAAATTTTTAGCTAAATTAAAAATTATGAAATTAGAAAGTTTAAATTAAGGTTGGAAAAAAATGTATCATAAGGGTGTAAAAAAGAAAGGAACTTAATATGTAAATGTTGAGACCCATAATATTACGCATGAAAAAATATAAACAAATATGTGTAAAAATAACAGATTTGTTGATTTCACTCTCCGAACCACTTCATTCCTTTTCGGGTTCCCGTTCCTGATACTTACAGTTCTCCCTTAGTCTTAAGCTGAAACCTTAGTCACTGGCTGAAAATCTTGCAGTGTGTGTACGTATGAGAGCTCTATAGTTGTATATTTAGTGATCCTTTGATCTTTCACTTATAGACGGTTCTTGTATGGACCTTGTTATTTGCGGTCAGATTTGTGGATCATTTGTTGCAACCACAATTTTACTAAGGATTTTCTGACGACTTTTAATTATTTTTACTATACAATGTCCTCACGTTATAAATTTTATTTGTTAGTAATTATATAACTATGTTATCGTCATTAAGTAGTCAAGGAGGCGCTTCCCGTAGGTATGTATATTCGTGTACAAGTCTCTATGATTTTGTGTTGATTTGCACAGCTTAATATTATAAGTAATATTTTTTGTTAATACTTGGTAGGTTTCTGAAGAGGTCGACGTGGTTCGATAAAACTTCATTTTCTAAAATAAAGTATGTGGTCCCCTTTTTACCAAGTTGTTTGTTTTTATATCATTAAATTTAACCTGGAGCAAGATGCAGAGGTTGATAGTCATCTACATCATCGAAATTCTTCTAATTATCCCTGTAATTCAGTGGATATCACGCGAGTTAACGCTTAATATATTCAATTCCAAATTCGTTTGAAAACTTCTGCACTTTGTTTTCGATAATATTATACAGCGAGAACCACAGACAACTTCAACAACTCTGTGTGCCACGTACGTGCTTGGAAAGTCTTTCTCTACTTAAGTGATTATAATGTCACCGGACTGTTTGTATATTAATTTTTTATTACTTTTGCATCGTTTTTGTTGGTGTCATATTTTATTTCTTTGTTTTTGAACAAAGTTTATCGTTTCTTAACAAAGTGCGATTAGAGAATGATTTTCTCAGTTGTAGATAAATTTAGATATTAGAAATTTTGTGTGACTTTATCGTTGGTATGACAATCAATATCTATGATACGTATGTATCATCAAATTTATAGGCTCATATATAGATAGAGGTACTGTTTCAAGCAGTCTTAACCCATTCATGTCCTTTCATGATGGTAAATAATTTTTTAATTGGATGTTAAAAAGTTAAAAGATGTAAGTTTAACAAAATTTCAAACTATTTGCAAGAATGGAAAAAAAATACCTTATTAATATAAGAATTTTGAGCTATAGTTGAAATAGCTCAAAACCAAGAATGAAATCTATCAGAACCTACAGTGTATGAGAGTGCACGACTCCTCGGTAGCTCAAGCGGTAAAGCAGCTGTCTAGAGTACAGAAGGTTGTATGTTTGATCCACACCCGGGGAAAGATTTTTTTCTTCCTTGCAAATAGTTTGAAATTTTGTCAAATTTACATCTTTCAACTTTTTAATATCCCATTAAAAAATTATTTACCATCATGAAAGGACATGAATGGGCTAAGGGTGCTAGGAACAGTATCTCCATCTATATACGAGCCTATAAATTTGATGATACATACGAATCACAAATATTGCTTGTTATGCCACTGATAAAGTCACACAAAAACTTCTAAAAGTTTATCGTTGTTCGGAGCATCTTCTTATTTATGGGGAACGAGGCGATACGTCTTACCTTTTTTTTAAAGAAACTATGCTTTTCTCAAAATTAATACAGCCTTATTTGGCCTTTTTATGGTCGCGGGCTGCTAGTGGCATGTAAATTATATACACCTCTATAAATAATCAGTAAACTACAAGGTTAAAATCATGACTGCATGTATATATTTATATTTTCTACTTCAGTATCATTCGATATATCTATTATTTTTGGTATCTGATCATGTAGCATAATCTACCAACCCATCTAATAACCCTAGGAATTGATAATGTGACTGTCTTAATATTCATGGTGTGAACATTTACACGTCGTATGGATAGGAAGCCCTGGCTCTTATATTTGTTACCGTACTTAATCTGTCGCAACTTCTCACTAAAACTCCTCCTGCAGCTGGGCTTCTGGATCGACGGGATGGTCTTCCTTCTCTAAAGTATCTTGTAACCTTATTGTTAATTACAAGAAACTGCGTTGGAATTAACAAATATCAAACCGTTACATATAACACCTTCATACGTATGCGGTCTGTATTATTTGAATAGGTTTTCGATGATTTTTCTGATTATTTGAGAAAAATACTAAACTTTCCAGACTTTTCAGTCTATTGAAGTATAAAAAAAAAAAAAAAAAAAAAAAAAAAAAAAAAAAAATTGAAAAGCTTAGTCTCGGTTGGCAGTAATTGTCTAATAAATGTTTGAAAATTAGTTGCAGTAAAATGTGTGTAAGATAAGTGTATCCAGCTGTCGCTTGCGTACCCCTAAAAGTGTAGTGGCGAATGTTTTTATTCATTTTAAGAATAAACAATGTGAGCGTTTTGCGATCATACTACTGAATACTTACAGTTTAAAAAAAATCCACCCTTAGCGTTCTCACTAGCGCACTATATATGATTATACTTGTTTGAACTAACGCTGTGCTTGAAGTGTTGTCAAAGCAATTTTTTGTGCTAAACCGCGTCTTAAATGTGTTTCACCCTCTCTCTTTCGAGCTGTAATTAATAAAAAAAACCAGGTTAGTCGTTAGTCTCTGTTTAAGGAGGCTCTCTCGTGCAGAAATGCCAACCCACGTCGTAGGTCTCGAATTTGCTCACTAACTCAGGTCTAGTTGGCATCACTGACGCAAAGGAACAGACTAACCTGTGTAAATAAAATGACTTGACTTAGAAGATATGTAGAATATCTCAAAATTTTCCAGGGTAACACTTGCTTTGCTAGGCGTCATTTGAAAGAGATTTTTTTCTACAAAATATGTGTACTCTTATTACGGAAACCGTTGATTTATTCGAGTTGTTAAGTTGTTTTCATCGCGTGTGCGAGCTCTACCACAAGAATAGGTGTTAGAAACCGCTACATTAAATGAATAATATTTCGAAATTTGTCAGGGTAAGGGATATAAATAATTATACCGTTGGATTCAGCACATTTTTAACTATTTAATTCATCTGGTCTTGGTTCGGGAACCGTCACAAGGGAGCCTCCTTAATCGTAACACCCGTAACGTAATACAGTTAAACAGAAAAATGGACTTTAAGAAAAGAGAGTAAGGAAGTCTGTAGCAATCAATCTCTAAAGCGTAAAGCAGCATCTACAGTCACCTTTCCTAGGCTTAAATAATTCATGTGTTGAAAAAGCCATGATTGGCTTGTAATATAAAAAATGGCTCGAAAACCATTGGAAACCTGTAGTTTCGTAAAGTATAGATTTTTAAAGAATTCCTTTCAAAATTTCGGATTGAAGCGAATTTAAATTTATGTTTACAAACATTTAGAAGTATTTTACCATGAACGATAGTAACTTGCAAGATGTAGAGATTTATGGCCCCAACTGGTCCCTGAAGTTTACTATAAGCAATAACTGTTAGGCTATATTGAGCTTGAAAAGAGACGTAAATAATGAGCAAGTGGCAGCGTCGCGAAGCAGCATCGTCGTAGTTTGATTCTAGAATGAGTAAATTTTTTTTAAATGAATTCATTATAAGACGCATGGATTATAATTTACTTGTATTGAGTGATTCGTCAGGTTTTATGCCTACTGTTACGCAAAAATTTATGGATCATATTTAAAAAAAAGATGATAGTATGCATGAAGCACGATTCAATTATTATAAACCTGATTTTTTAAAGCAAATTGTAAGAGATATGAATGATAGAGTTGTAGAGAGTGTGTATGAAAAAAGTCGTTTCAATATGTACTGCAAAGCATGAGTATTTATCAAAAGAACATGTATATGATTTTGTATAGAGCATTTTATTATTTCATATAAGAGCACTTGCAGAAGCTTTTAATTCTAAAATAAATTGATATGTACACTAACCTCCGTTGTTACTTACCTTAAATTCACACCTTATCTTCATTTATCATGTTTATTTAGATTTCATCGAAAAGTTAAATATAAAAAAAAATTACAGGGAACCTCTTTATTAAAAAAAAAAACCATGACTACAAACCATGTAAAAAGTATATCCCACTAAGGTAGAAAAGGAATTTTAGGGTAGTGGTCATAAGGAAATACCAGGAGTGGTAAGGAAATGTTAACCACCCTGGCATACCTTACCTCAGCTTGTCATTGAAACTTCCTATCCAGGTGGTTAAGGAAAGTTGTGATGAGTCTAAGTGTTGCAACAACTACTTATGACGATTAACCTACGTATAGTGTAATTGTAGTTGATAAGAAAAATAATGAGATTGCATACTCTAGATTCGCTCCATAAAAGTCTGAGTCTGCAATATATCCCGTATTCTTCAGTTTATATTAATGCACTCTAAGCCCATTGTATTTGCTTTAAGTTAATCAAAAAAACTTGAGAATTCATTTTATATTACCTTCGTATTAATGTATGTAATTGTCATCAGTTGGCAGACTAGAAAAATATTCGTAAATGTATTGATTATTGCAATAAAAGATATTTGTTTTACAGGATCCCTTGTCTCCAGGACCATGCTTGGACATAAGTGATGATGATCTTGTAACTATTTCTGTAAGAGATTTAAATCGTCAGTTAAAAATGCGAGGCCTGTGTCGCGAAGAGATAGTTCGTATGAAACAGCGTAGGCGTACACTAAAAAACCGTGGATATGCTGCTAGCTGTCGTATTAAGAGAATTGAACAAAAGGACGAGCTTGAGTCAGAGAAGTCTGGAGAATATAAAGAACTTGAAAGGATGCAAGAAGATAATGTTAGATCAAGAAAAGAAATTGATACTGTACATTCTAAGTACATGGCTCTCAAGAAGTTTGCAGCTGAAAGAGAAATGGTGATTCCTCATGAATTGCAAATTTTGTAAAGTTACCGATTGAAAGATCGGTTTTTATTAATAATTTTATTTGCTCATAAATAATACAAGTCCTATGTTAATAAGATTTTACTTAACCGTGTGTACTTTATTTATGCCAAAATGACTTTCAGTTTACAATAATACAATTTGTAAAATTTAAAAACAAGTAATTTGAGACACATTATCTTCATAATTCAATAAATATATCAACTGACTGACAACATGAATATTTATTGAATTGCCTAATAACCTATATTTTTGTTTATCAGTCAATTCATTCGGAAATTTAAAATTTTCTGGAAAACACATGATTCGTGATATTTCTCTTGGTGTAAAATAACGTAATTTCAGATTAACTAAATATTGAAGTTTTTCTTTATTATCATATAGTTTAAGACTTTCTTTCATTTTGATATCTAAGTAAGGCGATATAACTGATCCAGTTCCTTCAACATAATGTTTATAAGCTTTTGTAAAACAGCAAGAGCCTTTAGATTCAGGTGTTCTTATGTCTAAAAGATGTCCATGTTTAGAAAGAATTTTTTCTGGAATTAAGTATTTATCATCTACATTTTCTTCTAAAATATTCTTAATTTTGTAGCAGGCTACTGTATGACTTAAATTAAAAGTTCTTTTTTCCACTGGTAACAACTTGTACAATTTTTTAGGGATGACTTTTAAAACTCTATCAGGAAAAGCTGTTAACAACCCATTATTATCAAAGATAAATCCTAAATCTTTTTTTTTTGCCATAAGATAGTATCTGTGTCTTGAATTAGGAATACCGAACTGACATGGACTTAAAATAAATTCCTGATAATTAAATCTAGCTTTTTCTAGACATGATAGTAGCTCATATCTCGACTGTGATGTTTCAAACCCTTTTACATTTTCTAGAAGTATATATTTTAAGTTTTTTAAACTTGGAATGACTGTTAGTAAATGCAAAAAAGATACGCATCTATTGTCACTTGAATCCTTTTTTAAACCAATTCTTGTAAATGGTTGACATGGTGGACTCATAAGGATGCAATCAATGTCTAGTTTCGAAATTTCTTCGATGGATAGAGACTCGATGTTTCGACTGCAATTGGCCGTTTTGGGGAAATTGTATTTGTAAACTTTATTAGCAATTGTATTAATGTCTATTGAAGTAACAAGTGTCCCATCAACTGTACTTCCTGAAAAACATAAGAAACGTAAATTTATTATTTACTTTTATATACTGTACAGGTCTTTTTAAAAACATTTTTTGTATTTTTGTAATTGTTATACTGCGTATCACGGCTTAATGTGTTACAATATTTTTCCGTTGTTTCAGAACCTAATTTGCTTATTCTTCTTTTCAAATGGTATACACCAGGTAGTAAATATTGATTAAATATTGAATCGAGGTAAAAAGATGAATTATAAAAAAAATTTTATTTTAATTTTCCATTTTAAAAACAGATAAACCTTGAAGTTATTAGCCGTCAAAAACTCATGAATTATATGAAATTGGATTAAGTGCCTATTTCTTGATTCAGCAACCCCAGAAATCGCATTACGACACACACCAGCTTACAGATCTACAAGAGGTTCTAAAGCAATTCAAATTAAATTTAATGTGTGTTGTGTCTCTCTCTTTTTTTTTTTTTTTTTTTTTTTTTTTTACATGTTTTGTACTATGGACAAGTAGATAAATCCTTGAAAAATGATTGATAAGAAATCTTCGACAGCTACGACAAAAACTGCTGGAATCGCTTCGTATTGTGATCAGAGTACATAAAAAATAGTTTTGGTGCATAATCGCGCTGGCTTTGTCTGTAGTGATACAAATAGTAAAAATCGACTGGATTCTTTCTTCAAATTTTGCTTACAACTATTTTTAAGGAAATCGTATTGCAAAAATAGCTAAGATAATTTGTTAGTTATTTTATGATCAGATTTATTAATCGGTGCTGATAAATAATTTGAAACCTATTTTTTGCAAAGTTATAATACAGAAAAATGCGGAAATCTCGATTGAAAATGTCAATTTTGTAACATTATTGACTTTAACATTTTACATAAAAATTTCTTAAAAATTGGAATTCGATACTTAGGTAAGTCTAGCCACGTGCAATGATTTATGTATAATATTGAAAATGATATAACAAAACGATTGTTAATTTTAGAATTCATTTGGCTGTCCTGAACCTCACTGTACCGCTAGATTAAATTTTTAAAACTCGCCTGTTTCAATTCAATAAAGAATATTTTTTAAACAAATTCTAAAAAAAGTTTTCACAATAACTTGCTTTTAACAATAGTTGTGAACAATTGAGTGTTTAAAATGAATGTTCATTTTTTAACAGTTGTTCTTAACTTAAAACAAATTTTCTACTTCTACAGGGTATTTCTTGTTGATTTATTTAAGCTGTTAATTTTTACATACGCTATCAATAATCATAATTATAAATATTATACTTGAACACTTTGACCTGCTACACCATTCTTTGAACGGTAAATTGCATTTATTTAGGCGTCTGCTCGCTAGATAAAATACACATTATTTTATGGTACCATTTTATTATGAATTAATATATGTTTTAAACAAAATTTGTTTGAATAGTACGTAAATCTAGAAAAAACATGTCGAAATATTGATTATACTATGTAAAATAGACGTCCAAATAATTACGGTTATTTTACTTCGTTTTTGTAGTGTCAGAAGGTAATTACTGTCACTTCCAGTAATATAATCTATGCCTGAGTATAAAACATAATCAGAATCATCTTCTACCACGTCTATACATATACATCACTATAACGTTCTCATCCTCACCTTTACTAACAGATGTAGTTGTTTTTTTAGTCACAATCAATGTATGGAAGTACTTTAATTTTGTCGGAATAAAAAGAGCAAAAAGTGTAACTACTCACAAATCACCCATTCTTAATATAAAAAAAATTTTAATCCTAACATGAGGGTGATAGAGTTGGTCACACGGTGTATGTATCGATGTATGTATACACGTTATCAAGTTTTTTAAGCAACTCAAGTAAGTATGATCCAAATGAGCTAAAATTTTATTGATGGGTGCGGGTTGAATATTTTAGTAAACAGTTTCAATCTGGATAAGTTTTATCGAAGAGAAAAATTTTGACAGCATTTTTAGTGCATCGCTCGTAGATAGGAAAAAAAAGTATTCAGCGATAAGTAACTGTTGTCACAGGCGAAAAAAAATTTTGAATTCTACAGCAAAGTGCCAAGTACAAAATTTATAGAGCTAATTAAAACAACATTTTTGTCTTGTAATTTTTTATATGTAGTGATTTCTTAACAATTTATTCAGCACAAATCATTTCAAAATGGCAAAACAATTGTGTTAAATTTTATTTTTGTGCATCACATTTTTTTTCCGAAATGTTTAATACAAAAATTATACATCTTCTACAAATACACTTCTTTGTATTGACAAATTTCATCTACAGTATTGTTATAATACAGTTAATAACGAAAAATATTTCAAAATAGCTGAAAAAGTGTTTAGCAGCATATAAGTTTAGTAATTTAAATTCAAAGTTAGAATTTTGATATTAAAACTCAGATGTAACAACAAAACAATATTAAAATTGAATTCTGTAGTTTGAATAACACGTTTGCTCTGGCAACTCGTAGATTAGTCGTACCTTACATGCAAGACGAAGTAATTAGCATGAATTTAGCCGCTTGTTTATATTTGCATAATTTTTACCGTCACAATATTTACGAACGATTAAACACTTAATTCCATTTTTTTTATAACTTCGTCTTCCTCAAGCAGCTGTTATGCAATAAGCGAGCTTTTAGTTTTTCTATAATTTGACGAAATGCAAAGAATATTTCTTATCGTATCATGTAACAAATCACCATGGAATTTTATTTTCTTGCTTTGCTTAACGATTTCGTCAAAATTCGCGACAAGAACTTAAATATTGTGTTCCACAAAGCTCATGTTTACTGTATGCTAACTCAACTGAGACTAAAACATGATACTGCCAATAGTATGCCTTTATACTTTCAAGCTCTTGCGTTATGGTATTTTGTAATTTTGTTTATCACTTTTGTTTACATTTTTGACGCTCACACATTTATACACAGTTCCACTAATAGCTAAATAATTAAACTTGACCGCTAATGTGTACATGTGCATGAAGACCACGTATATTGTAAACAGTTTACATACAGTTTATGATCGAAAAAGTTCTCTCCTATATTTATAACATGCTTTCTGTATAAAATCAAACTGTTGGTCTATAGTGCGTGAGGTTTTTACGTAAAAAAGTGAGTCTTGAAAAAATCTCCATGACGAGACGAAATATTGACTAGTACATAAATAAAAAATTTTTGCTCAAGAAAACTAAGTGGTGTTTCATTGTGGATGGAAACCCTAAATAAAAGATATAGTTGTTCGATTCAAAACTAGCTAAAATTACAATAATAACTATGAATACACTAAACAATAAATAAAAAGAAAAACTCTAAAATAAGAGCTGTTCGCATGCAGATATCTAGTGTCAATTTTTTTTCCTTGTGTGAGAATTTCTTTGAGTCTGCTCTGCCTCACTTGACGTTTTAAAAAAGTGTCTGTCTATATTTTTATTCATCATTGACTTGTCGTTGGCCCGGTAATTGCAGAGGCTGGTATTAATTCCTCCTTTGTGAAATTCCTTGATGCTTTGCTCCAAGCTTCGCCACTTAAAAAATAACATGAAAGTTTATTTACTTTTGTGCTGTTGAAAGATGGATATGCACCAGGTTTCTCCTGAACCACTTGACTAACTAACAACCGAGACTAGTATGTACAAAAAAAAATTTTGCTCATGAAAAACCAAGTGGTGTTTTATTGTGGATGTAAACCCCAAATAATGTTGAAGATATCAAAAAGTGCGTCAATAGAAGTCCCGAAGAAATTACTCTCCAATTAGTTTGATTTTGTTAATGCATACATACATGTTAGTTTATTATTACGAGTTTTACACAATAAGTATGCAGCGCCGAATATGGAACAAAAGTTGATTATATATATATATATATT